TAAATATTAAATTCGGATTCGATTACATTTTTAGTTAGAGATATAGTGGGTCTTCGATATTTTAGACTTGTCAATGTTTAGCATTCAATGCTGTATTTGTATTGATAGTGTACGTTTATATTTACGAAGGAAGGTATGCTGTCTTCTTAGATTCGGAAGTGCAAATTATACGACATTAAAAAGCTGTCTATCGGCGTAGCTTTTAGAGTTATTGAAATTTAATTTTATCATCTAGTTTGACTGTGCTTTGATTTGCCATTGAGTAGTCTAAAGAGAGCGCCTAACTATATGCTGGCAATTTGCTGTGGGTATATTATATGCTAAATATTAAAACATTTTGAAGTTTATAGAATTAATTAATAACTTTTTGTGATTTCTAATAAATATCAATACCCTAAAATGTTTTAATCTTAATATTCTTAAAGTTTGGCGTTTAAAGAAAATTGCAGCATCCAGTAACATAACCTGCAAAATTGATCCACTAAAATGTACCATTAATAAAAAATATAACAATTATTATTTAGATTTGTTTTAATTATTAAATCACTAAATATTATTTTAAAGAAATATTATTTTCTGCGCCCTTAAACCATTTGATGTAGTATTTTGTTATATTATTGATTCTGAAGTATTAGAGACTAACAAATTCAATTTAAGCGAGTGTTTCTGTACGTCATATATTGATTGGTAAAACAACAATTAAATATATATAAATAATATACGAGTACTACAATTTATTATATAAAATAAAAAGTATTTATTATTTTGTTATTGAATATTTAAAATTTTTTTGAATTACTACGTATACATATTAACTAGATATAGTTAGATACATATTGTGTTAGATATTAAACAACAATAATGATGATAATAGGAGTAAGAACATGCAATATGTGCAAATAAATAAGCTCAACTAATTATGCATTATATTTTTATCTTATATTTTCAATGTTCTCTTAGTCTTCAACCATTTTATTTATTACTTAAAGTGGGTGCATTATTGCCAATATACTCGTATGTACTTATAATTTTCCTTCAATCTTGTTGTTTGGAACTGAACTTTCTATTTATTGCATTTATGCACTTGACAGAAACAAATGCCAAACACCCGCAGGCGTTCAATTTTTTCAGCATTTGTCGATTTAGCAAAAAAATCTCATTGAACAAACACCCAGTCAAGATACAAATTTGTATTCAATGAGAACTCATAGTAATTCGCAGCTCAGCGCGTTCAATAAATTTAATCAATAAATTAAATTCCAAATCAAATGCTTCATAATTGATTTACGTTGTAAAAATAATAATAGTTTAATTAATTTTCTCTGGGGCAAACGTTAACTTTGTTCTTACCGAATTCCTTATAGAAATTAGAATAAAAAAATAAAAAATTTTATGAATCTTCTTGAATGTTTGCCTTCAAAAATATCTTTGATTACCCGTAATCGTACAAGGTTTCATAGGCGATGGACTATGGCCGATGTTGTTTGTACTTTTGACAATTTATAAAGCATTTATAAATTTTTTTGTGAACGCATGATTAATTAAAATTGTAATTTAAATTAGGTTGAACATTTTTGTAAACAAATTTAATTGATTTTAACCAAAAATGAGTTGATTTCACCAAACCAAAAATGGTTATCATAGGTCGTTGTTAGAACCATTTTTGTAGTCAGCGGAAACTTTAAATTAAAGAATTATTTGTCGTTAACTGAAGCATAAGTTAGAATTTTAATAGAATAGAATAATAGAATATAATAGAATGAAAAATGACTTTATATATAATGAGAACTGACTTCTTATTAAATAGTTACAGTTTCATTCTAAGTTTCATTCTAAAGGTTTTGTAATAAATGTTAAAGATTCATCATTAAACGAACTATTTAATTTAAATTAATGTTGAGTTAGTCATAAAAAATTTAAGTTGTCTTTGATTTAGTACACGTACTTGTGAAAATTTATTTTAAGCAAAATCTAATGAGAATTTATTCAGATAATAGAATTATCAAAATCGCAGAAATCATCAGCTACCCTTATAAACAATTTTATACTAATAATAAACAGACTATAGATAATAGGTAGTATTGATATCCATTTCAATTAAAATTAATGTGAAATGCAGTTACCAATGTAGTTTTATAAGAATTTAAGAGAATAGAGTGGAATTGGAAATAATAAAAAATTAACGCAATATACTGACACCCAGAGGAGTACAGCATTGTGATCCTGGCTCACATTTTGTGTTGATAGAAAGATGTAAAAGAAATCGAAACAGATCTTATAAATTGGTCAGTTAAAAATTATGGTAGTATATAAGAGATTTATAAGAATATAAATAGAAATAAGATCCAAAATTGATGAATAACATAGCGAGCATTTCAATGTTGAGTAATATAGGCTAGTAAAACACAGGTCTTAGAAAATACGAGATTTAAAAGAAAGTGCTTGCTTTAAAATTTGTAGTGAAAAGTATTTTTTTTCTCATTTGACTTTATCCTACCATTTTAGGGCTTTGATCTGATGTATCACACCTCTCCAAGTACCGTTAGTACTTTATCATTTCGTCAGACCCATGAATCAAAATTTCCATATTGATATTTGCTTGATCTTGATTTGGCTTCAAACACCATTTTTGTTTGAGAATCTTCTTTCATTCTCACAATTTCATTCACTTGATATAAAGTTATAGTGAAGGAAAATCACTAGTATAATTTTAAAAGAATATAAGTGAAAACATGAGAAACATAATATGATGAACAACGTAGTGAACGTATCCTTCTCAAGTGAAATAAATAAGTAATAAATAGATGCAGTAAAATGCCAAATATAAAAGGACGTAATTAATTTAAAAGTTGTATTGACAAATAGTTACTAATATAGTTACACTTTATTAGTTGGCTCTAACAATCCATTTTCGGATTTCGATCTGATGTAACATATCTTTTCAAGTTAGTTTTGAGTTCCGTGTAACTTTTCATTCATCAAATGTAGTTAGTATTATATTCAAAAGCAATAAACTACTTCTCCAGAGCGACGGTCTTCCCTCATATTTCTTTTGCTTTTTATTCTCACAAATTCTTTCTCTGCTTATAAAATTATAGAAAAAGAAAATAACTAATTTAGTTTTTTAAAAATATAAATGAAAATAAGAGGAACTGAAATTGATGAACAACGTAGTGAACATTTCGGTATTGAGTGAAATAGGCAAGTGATAAATTTATTTAATAAAATGCCAGTTTTTTATTATACTAGTAAAATTTTATTCATATTAGAATATATAATTTTTAGTTCAATGCAAATTTTTTTTTGTTCAATTATTTTACTTTTATTTATAATTTGAATACAAAAAAAAGTTTGGTATTATTATTATTAAGAGAGGTATATAGTAATAGGAACTTAAGGGTATAATGCGCCCTCTTCATGGTTTTACATTGACTAATGGGGTTTTATATCCTCAATAAGGAGAATTATTTTTATAATTTATCGAATTTTAAATAAACATTGAGTGTTATAAGTTCGTTTAATTATATCTTCTGTTTGTGTAACACTGCAGTTCATTTATCCATCTCTTTCCTCTTTTTTTGTGTAAGTTTCAGATTCCATAATATTAAAGTCCCCGATTTTTACGTTCAATCTATAATGTGTTTCTTATATTCTTGTTTTAATTCTTAAGTTACTCTTCGTTAAATTCAAACAGCTCTTATATTGTCTTAGTCTTGACAAGTACTCATAATTGATAATTGAGTTTCACTTAGTCTTCTTAAATATCTATAATTGATTTGAAGTGGACTAAACTCGTTAGATTATCCCGGAATAATTTTTTTTGATCGTTTTTTTATCGAAAAATGGTTTTGAAAATATATTTCTGGTTCAACAAACAAGGTTACTGTTTCTTTCTTTATCAGTTTGTGTGCCATTTAAGTTTTTGCAAGTCCCTATATGTTTCAGAAACAATAGAATCCACAACTGATTAATTGATCAAGTGTGTTTAAATTTTCTAGATACTCTTTGTTATCTAAAAAGAATTGGCTTGTTTTTATAATTAATGGCTGACTATCCAGTTGGTTATTTTTTCGTTCTTTAGTTATGTTTATGATTGAATAGATATACTTATTAATCGCGCCTTTTTCCATTTGAAAGATTATAGTATTTTTGTTGATTCCTGCAGTTGTCACTTCGTCAGTATGTCAATCACGTGTGTACCATGTTTTTATGAAGTTAGTGTACATATATATCATCTCTATAATTATTAGCTGTCAGTGTTAGAATTTTTCTTATAATATTAATTCATACATGGTGTAGTGCAATGATTTCATTATTTCGGATACTCGTAATTCTTGTGTTTACTTCCACTGTGTTATGGAAAATGAAAAAAAAATCATTTCTTTTAAGAAAATAATATAATAGAATAATAAACTGTTAAGAAGAAACGATTATTTCAGTTTTTGTTTGATTTGCATTTTCTGATCTTTGCCATAAAATATGTGTTAGCATATGAAATGCAATTTCTGAAGTATCTATGTCTTATAGATCAACCTCAGATGTTGAATATCTGAAAAAAACTGCAAAAACTGAAATTGCATTTTCGCCGGCAAAAAAAATAATTTTTCAAATAATTTTTCAAATAATTTAAGTGCAAATCAGAAAACTCGAAACTGTTGAAATTGCATAAACAAAATATTTTGTTTACACGCTGCATAATTGCGGAAGGGCGTAGAGTGTGCATGCGCCAGGAAATTATAAAATAAAACTGCAAGTAGTAAACATTAAATCGGCAAAACATTAAAACTCAAAAAATATTGACAATATTACAACAAAAAAGAGGAAAAAATTAAATAAAAGGCAGTATTTGCTGTAAAAATTAAAAAGCATTAAGCAAAATGACGACAGCGAAATGGCTTTGGCGCTTAACATTGAGCGTTTTGGGTAAGTGAAATTTAATAAAAAAAAATTACATACATAATTTCAAAATAAGAGAAAATAGAATTAAAAATAAATTATGATATGATATATCGCGCCTATCTTTAAAAACAAATGGCTAAAATTATTTAAAAATAACTTTGTTCATTGACGTTCAATTGAAATTAACAAAAATCAAATATTTACATTAAAAGAAAATTAAAAAAAAAAATTAGTACTAATGTAAATTTTTTTTTTTAAATTAAACATAAATTTAAAAACAAGGAATGCCAAAATTTTAATTACATTTTCCTATACATCAAAAGTAATTAAAAATTAAATTACTATTGCCATAAACTTTTAACATTTGAGCTGTAACATAAAAATTTGTTTTGTTTTATTTAAAATTACTTAAAAATATTTAATAACATTTTTTTTTTAAATTTTACTAATTTCATTTTAATTTTAAAGTTTTTTTTTTAAAACGCAAATTTCGTTTTTTATAAATAAAAGACATTGCCATCACTTTTTATTAGCCACACGTTGATAATAATATATAAAATTATATCCTCAAATATAAAGAACAACAATAAATACAACAAATTTTGGCATAATTTTTATTTTTGTATAGCGAACGTCACCTATGCTGGGCGTATGAGTGATTAACTTTTTTTATTTAGAATTTAGAATTCCAAGACGTATGTTTAGTATGTCGCGGCGCTGACAAAACATGTCATATACCCTAACAATGATGAACAATAATTCTTTTATATCCAGATATCTCAAGATTCTGCTGAACGCAGCAGAATGTGGCGGAAAATTCAACTAATTAATTGAATAGAAAGAAATTTCTTCTTCTGCTTGATGATTTTTCGAAATATATTTTTGCTCTACTGATAAATCAAACAATTATGTCTGTCATCAGACATTTTTATCACAAACTGTCATTTGCACTTCATTTTGTTGCCGTTGCTAATTTTGGCGAAACTACGTACGACCAATAATTTTCCAAACAATTTCAAAGATTTCACATTAATTAAACGGAAACGAAGCATTGAAAAGGCCAGAAGGCAATGTCATCTACCGAATTGTACAGATACCGAAAAGTGTTGTGGGTGGTCAGAAAATATTGAATGGCTCAAAGGTCACTTCATAACATAACATGTTCAGATGTTATGATTTTGAGTACTAACATAAGTTTTTGAAGAAAATCGAAGAAAATAAGAGAAAATATCAATTATTTTCTATATTTAGAAGTAGAATGTATTAGATGAAGTGATTTTAAAGTAATAAAGAATGTAATGATACAAACAAAAAAATTACTTAAATTACTTCACCTTCGGATATTTATATTAATTAAATCAATGAAAATCATTAAAAGCGAATAGAAGAGAGTATATTATATTTAAAAAAATAGATAAACCTATATATTTAACAAATTACTCTACTTTTACCTCTAGAAAATGAATTACATTATGGAATTCAATGAATGAATTTTAATATATATTAAAAGTCAGCGTAATCTACCAAGAAACTTTGCTTCAAAAATTTAAAATATATGTATTATCGAAATAATTAAAAATTAAAATAAAAAGATTGATATTCGTAAGTGGCATCAATTAAGTATAGTTTAAAAGTAAACATATAGTAAAAATTGTTTTATACGCACCATATTCCACATTAGTATAGTACTTACGGTCGGATGGAGCATATGGTCTAAATTGTAAGGATCTTTTTGAATTTCAAAATAATTTTTATTGATACAACGATCTGGGTAAAAGTTCAAAATAGGAAAAATTTCAATATTAGACACAGGGTTAAAAAAAGCCACTGTTTTACAGCATCCATAGATCGTCGTGAATAAAATTGAAAGTAATTTAAATTAAAAAAATATGAATATATAAAATATGTTCTCTAATTATTTTATTCTAGATTTAATAATTTTAAGATTATAATTATTAATTCATATTAATTTATACAGTAATGTTTTAGTCCAACAGCATATATTTTAGTTTCATCGCTATTTTTGGTGCTGTTAGGTAACACTTTGTTTTAGAAGCCAACACTTTTATTCCTCAATGTTTGTGTTGTTTTCTCTTCAACATTTTGAAAGCTGTAAATTATCACTTTTTTCTATTTTTAGAAGCTGTTTTTATAAAATGGTTTCTATGTTTGTTTTTGGCATTTATAACATTTGTTTAGCTATTTTTTGTGCTTTTGTCAAGCACTTTTTAATTTTTTTTTGTTTTAAAACCTAATAAATCTGTGGCTCTACAATTAGATTAAAATTCATAAGATTAGATTAATTTAAACTTTATATATAAATAAATACCTATTCATTTGTAACTTGATAACCAAGTTAAGAAATGAGCATCGTATTATGTCACAACCGAAAAAGTTCCCATTATTCATGTCATCTGTTGAGTTTTTATTAAATCTTACTCGATTCTGTTAGGTTATCAAGCAGGGACTATGTGTAAAAATTTTATTAAGTCTGATTTCAGGCAAATGTTTTTCATAGCTTGAGTCTGCGTAAGGACTCTGCGAACAACATTATTACCAAGGACATATCTATGATCAACATCTAATATTTGCCAATTATCATCTTTTTAATTTCAACTTTATTATAAATATTTTTTCCTTTTGTATTAAATCGATTTTTCAACCCCCGCTTACCAAATAATTCTCATTAAGAATCAGTCTATGGTACTAATTTGATAATGAGCGATTATTCCATAGTTTTTTCTTAATAACATCAGGACTAACTATATTGTCTATATACATTTTTGTAAGCATTCATGCTTCATACTGTATGAGTTTTCATCAGGTTTTCTATACACTTTGTTAACTTGACCGTTTTGGACCATTTTGAACCATTTTGGACTCCCACGTTCTGGTGATCAAAGACAGTTTCAAGTTGAAAACAAATTTTTAAAAAAATATTTTATTTTATTTGTTAACTGAAGCATATAATTAAGTAATTAAATTAAAATGCCTGTTCATTGTGAATTTTTCGCGACAGGTGGTTTCAGTCTACATAAAGAAATCACTCACTCATTCAACTTTGTATCTTTTATGTTGGCTTAAATGTCATATCAAACATTGAAATATTCAACGCTTTCAAGTTGTTTTTTTCACTTTTTTCAATTTATATTTAAAAAATTCGTTGACATTTCAGTATATACTCTATTTATTTGCTATTTTTATTCCCTACTATATTATAAAAATAAATTCGCAAAAAGTGAGTGCCTTTAAAATAATTTTCCACATTTTACGATCGTGGGAAAATGCTGCATGAAAATTCAAGGCATATGACGCGTTTCTGCTATTTTTAATTAATACAATTAAAATTCTATTTTAATTTTAAAATCTGTTTTATTATTATCTTAATATTCTTGTGAACATATTAAATAGAGAAATTTATTATAGTGTAAGAGAAAAAAATCTTTTCTATATGACAAATGAGCAACACTTAGAAACCGATTAAAATTTAGTTTTTACATTAAAATTCCGATAAAACAAATTATGATTAATTTAATAATACATAAATTTTTTTATATTTATAATTTAATATTTTATTTTTATGATTAATATATAAAAATATATTTTTTTTTATTTATAGCTGTGTTTGCTGTGACTATAAGTGCTGAACCACCTAAAGGATTTGTAAGAGAAGTTTGTAAATATCGCAAAGGCAAAGTGGTTAGAAAATATTTACAAATAATTATTTATCTATTCATATCAATCTAATTAAAAAACAAATATTTAATTTTTTATAGATACAACCTGTTAGCGAATTTCGTCGTCGCTTGCATTCCATACGTGAGCAAATGAAAATTCGCGCTTCATTGCAAGGACCTGAAATCGACGCATATATACTGCCATCTTACGACGATCATTTGAATCAAGAAGTAGCAGCACATGAGAGACGTTTACACTATCTGACTGGTTTTACTGGTATTAAAGCTTTTGCTGCTATCACACACAAAGGCGCTGCGCTTTGGTTGGAAGATCGTTATGTGCAACAAGCTGATGGCGAGTTGGATTGTGAATGGGATATATATCGCATGAATGATACCACAACCATAGCAATTTGGTTGGATGTAAATAAAACATTATTTGAATAAAAAAATTTAAATAATAACTGAAATTTTTATTAGTATTACTTATATCCGGATCAACGTGTAGGTGCAGATCCTCATTTGGTGCCACATCACCTGTGGTTAAAATGGGAAAGGGAACTGAAAGATAAGTTCTTGGAGCTGACAAAAATTAACAACAATCTAGTAGATCTTATTTGGGGATCTGAGCGCCCGTCACCTATTACAATGCAAATCACAGTACAGGAGCGCTTATATGCCGGTGATAGATGGGAAGATAAAGTTTCGGAATTAAGAAGACAATTGGAAAGTCATAAGTGCGATGCTATGGTTGTAACGTCATTAACAGAAATCGCTTATTTATTAAATATACGTGGCAGAGATATACCTTACACACCTGTCGTAAAGGTATGTAGTTCTTACAGTTCCTGAAATTGTTTTTTAATATATTCCACTATATAGTCCTATCTGATTGTAAGTAAACACGATATATTTTTCTATGTCGATCGTCATAAATTTAATTTGGGCATTGATTTGCATCTACATACCGACTGTTTTAATGATAAATGCGTACAGTAAGTTTAACACAAATTTAATAATAATTTTAAATAAATAATTTATTTTTATTGTATAGAGTAAAAGATTATTATCAAGTTTGGAATGATATACGCACATATTCGCAGATATGGAAACGTGTGTTAGTCCCAGCGCCCTGTGTACAGGATTTAGGCGCTTCAGAGGCTGTATTTTCATCAATGCCTTTGCATATTGTTTACGAACATATATCACCTATAATATTTATGCGTGCACAGAAAAACTCGGAAGAACAGCGTGGTATGCATCAGGCTCACGTTAAGGACGGCGCTGCCATTTGTGAGGCTATGAGTAATTTAGAAATGCGAGTAAGTAATTTATTGACTATTTCTATAATTATATTTATAGATTAAACAATCTTCTTAGTTTTTTACTGAACAATGGTCCGAAGAAAAGATAAAATACGAAATTGAACGTTCACGCTTATCACAAACACATTCAAAGGGTCTATCGATGCGCACAGTTATAGCATTTGGAGAACATGCCTCATATCCATATTATATATCAAGCAATATCACAGATATTGAAGTAACCGATCAAAGTATGTTAGTCATTGAATCTGGCGGTCAATATTTTGAAGGCACTACAGATGTAGCAAGAACTTTTATTTTCGGTGAACCCAACGCTGAAATGAAGCGAGCATACACAAATGTATTGGCAGGAATATTACGCTTGTCACAGCTTAAATTTCCATCGAATATAAAATATGCTGAAGTTGATACATTGGTTAGAAGTCCAGTTTGGGATTCGATGATTGATTATCCACAAGCGACAGGACACGGTATTGGCGCATATGGTGCAGTAGAAGAACGTAAGTTGAGTCTTTATTACTATAGGCAGTACATGTTACATAGGCCGCTTTTTTACAGCACCAATAGCTGTGGCTTATGGTATGGATAATCCATTTCATTTCAAGGAAGGCTATTTCTTCTCAAGTGGTGAGTTACAGTAAATGCAATTTTTTTAAATATTACTGTTATTTGCAATATTAACTAGAAAAGTGTTAGTTCTAACAAAATAGCTTATAAATTGAAACATTCCTTTTTGTTGAAGAGTCTGTTATTAGTTTCTATTTGCTCACATTTTTATGGCTCATAGTTATAGTGGTAGTATAGTATACTATAATATATAAATTATTAAAAATGGAAAATTGTTTTAATTTTTAGAATCCGGTTATTTTAAACGAGGAGAATATGGTGTTCGTATTAAAAATGTACTAGAAGTCTTAGACACGAAGCGTGTACATCCTTCAGGAGCAAAATTTTTACAGTTCAATGATGTCACACTTGTGCCTTATGAATCAAAATTAATTGACGGTACATTATTGAGTGCGTTAGAGGTAAGTGTCTGATTTTGTTCCTTGTATTCTACATATATATGTATATATTTTTTTATTTTTATTAGAAACGTTGGCTTAATGAATATAATTCAAAAATACGGAAGTATGTGGGTAGTGAATTGAAACGACAAGGTAATATGCTAGCCTTCTATTGGATGATGAACAAGACGCGACATGTACGTGAATATCTTCCCGAAGATGAATATAGAGCAGCAACTGGAGCTGGTGCAAGAACACGTAGCTTTTTAACTATTACGGTGCCAGCATTATTATTGGGCTTAACTGTTTTTGGAAGTTTTCTTCGTTGGTTGCTTTGATTAAGTTTCTTATTAATTTCACAAGTAGTTAGTTTAAATGTATAACTAATATATATAATAAATGAATAATGCACAATTATAATAAAAGAAATAATTAAAATTAATTAAATTAAATTAATCAAAAAATTAATTATATGAAATACTAACAAAGTACTTGTTAAAAGGAGCCAAATTAATAAATTATATTTATATTTAGTGTAGTTAATTTATATCAAATATAAATTTAGTATATGTGATGTTGTGTGTGAATACATAAAATATTATAATTACTGTAGTTAATATTATTAATTAAGTTTACTTTTAAACATTTTTCTTTAAGTAAACCAAGTAAATATGCACTGTGAAATAATTTTTAAATTGTTTAAATGAAAACAATAGTTTTATATAATATACATTGAAACTATAATAAATGGCCTTAAATATTTAAGAGAAAAGTA